TGTGGTCACCCCACGTCCTTTCCTTCCTTTTGGGTGGGGGGCGTGCCGGAGATTGAACCCAGAATCTCATGTATGTTAGACAAACTAGCCACTGAGCTAACATCCACACATCCCTTTTTGTTCATTTCTCTTCTTTTCATGTGCATGTGTATTGTTTGCACACACGTGTGTATGCGTATTTCCACGTGTGCACACATGCAGGTATGTGGGCATGTGTGTTGAGGCCCCAGGTTGATGCTGGAAATCTTCCTTGATCACTCTTCTGCCGTATTTTTTTGAAGCAGGGTATCTCAATCAAACCCAGAGCTCACAGCCAAGGCTACTCTCAGCCAGCGTGCTCTGGGGTTCCTGTGTCTGCCTTCTGAAGCTGGATTTACAGGTGGGCTACCATGCCCACCTGGCATTTACATGGGTTCTGGGGATCCAAACTTAAGTCCTCCTGCTTGTGTGGCAAGTGCTTTAATCACTGAGTCATCTCCCCCACCCCCATTTTTTAAAACTTTCTTTCGGAATGACTAGGTTTCCTAGGCTGGCTGTAAACTTGCATTCCTCCCGCCTCAACTTTCCCAGTAGCTGAGATTACAGAGGTATGCCACCATACCTGGAAAATCCCATGTTTTTGCTAAATTTTCCTCAGTAAACAGAACAGACATAGAAATAGGTACTCGGGGCATAAGCAGTTCTGTTGAACAGCCATAGAACATCCATGGGTTCAGCCATGTACTGGGTAATGGGGAACATAAAGTGAGTGGCGCAAGGGGTGTTCCTAGAACATTATTTCCCTTTCCATCCTCTGGTAACAGACCTAGACCTGGACGATAAGATTGTCCAATCAATTTCTCAGCCATAAAAACCCAAGGCTGGCCCGGTACCTGTTTCTTTGGTCTGGGACTGTGGCAGCCTCCAGCAAAGCCAATCAGCCTTTCCCAGGATATATGCATTGGAACTGGAAGGGCAGACTGTCACACTGTTTTTGAGTCCTCAAATCCTAAAGTTGGAAGAACGAGGAATAGTGGTCCCTGCCGTATGGAGAAAGTCTGTGTGTCATAGGAGAGAGTTAAGACCAATTTACAGAACAGATCGGAACGGGAGGGAGCAGCGCCCTTGCTCCTGCCCGGGGAGATTAACTCCCACCCTGGACACAAATGAGTTGATGAATTCCCGTTTGTGAACTGGTGTAAGGTGGAAAGCTGACATTTTGACCAATTGATCATGGTTAATATATTAAAATAGATTGTCTTAGCTTTGACAGAGCTTGGGGGAGGGAACAGCGCCCTTGCTCCTGCCCGGGGAGATTAACTCCCGCCCTGGACACAAATGAGTTGATGAATTCCCGTTTGTGAACTGGTATAAGGTGGAAAGCTGACATTTTGACCAGTTGATCATGGTTAATATATTAAAATAGATTGTCTTAGCTTTGACAGAGCTTGCTGCCCAGCAGGAAAGTTCTAGGAACTCAAGTAAGTCTGCTAAAACAGAGCTCACCGTGGGGGGAATCTCTAGATTAGGTCAGAGAATGTTTGATAGAGTCATATCATGACTAATGCATAGGAATTAGGCAAGTGAAGGGACAAATGTGGAGGAGGAGGGGAAAACTGAGGAAGGGAACCGTCTTCAGATGGTGGAGTGGCAGAAGGGAA